CCTTAAAGTCTGGACTTCCCACTTAAGCAACTGGAAGAGCTGGTACTACCAGGCCGCATTTCTCCAGGATAGCACTTGGGTGATAGAGTAGTGGTTCTCCCTTTTTTAAAAAAAAATTTGCTATTTTTATTTTTATTTATTTTTGAGACGGAGTCTCACTCTGTCGCCTAGGCTGGAGTGCAGTGGCACAATCTTGGCTCACTGCAACCTCCACCTCCCAGGTTCAAGTGATTCTCCTGCCTTAGCCTCCCAAATAGTTGGGATTACAGGTGTGCACCATCATACCTGCCTAATTTTTTTGTATTTTTAGTAGAGACAGGGTTTCACCATGTTGGCCAGGCTGGTCTTGAACTCCTGACCTCTAGTGATCCATCTGCCTCAGGTTCCCAAAGTGCTGGGATTACAGGCGTGAGCCACTGCATCCAGCCATCCCTTTAAAGAGAGCACGTGCTCTCTAGTTTGCCATAGTCCCTACCACTCCCTTTTGTCTTATACCCAACCCACTTCCCTCACTTAAATTACCTACCTGACCCCTGTGACATCAGAGTTTGCAGCCCCTGGCCTAGAGGACAAAAGTGTTAACTTCTGGATAGTGTGTTACATGGGGTGGGGCTGAACATGGAGGGTCAACGGTAGGCAAAGTTGAAAAGTTAGGCTGTGGCCAAGTTGCGAAGGGCCTTGAATGTCATTTTAAGATGTCTTTATGAAGAGGGCCACTGAGAGCAGTGAAGCAGGGGAGTGACATGCTTGGGTTTGTGTTTTTAGCCCAGGCCCTCCGGACAGGTGGGAACCAGATGGGGCACAGCAGAGCACTCAGTGAGGAGGGGGAGAAGGAAGAGACTCCTCCCCCACTGAGCATCGGGAAGTCTGAGTCAGCTCTCTCTCTGTTTCAGAACCAGACAGCAGCCTTGGGTGCAGGCGTGGTCATGAGGGCAGATGGGCAGTGCTGAAGACCCGGCCTGGCTCCAGTTGCTTCAGAAGGACTCCAGCCCCCCAGGACTCAGGCCCACAGCCTTCTGCCCACAGGATGGGAGCCTGGGGGCTGACAACTTGGCCATGAGGGATTACTGCCCCTCCCAGCAAAAGGCAAGCCCTGCATACCCCAGGCACACCTCTGACCAAAGCCCAGGCATGGAGTCTAGACACAGAAGCCCCAGTGGGGCTGGGGAAGGAGACTCCTGCTCTGATGGCCCCGGAGGGAGCCTGGCCTGCCCCTCCCCAACATGCTTCTCTCCCCAAGAGGCAGCCTCCAAGGAGACATTGGAGGCACATGGAGCCACCATCTCAGGAACACCAGAAACCACCATGTCTGGGAAGCCAGAGCCTGTGTCCTCTGTGAAAACTGAGCCCAAATCCTCAGATGACAGAAATCCTGTGTTCTTGGAGAAGATCGATTCCAAGTCCTCAAAGCAGGCAGATTCCACTTCCATAGGAAAGGAATATCCTGGGTCCTCACGGAAGGCAGATCTCATGTTTACAGCAAAGGCAGAGCCTGAAATCTCGGGAAAAGGGGATCCTGTGGCTCCTGGAAGGATGGATCCCATGACTCTAAGAAAGGAAGATCTTGGATCCCTGGGTAAAGTAGATCCTTTGTACTCCAGCAAGATGGATACAGTGTCACCGAGGAAGGAGGATCCTGGGTCTTTGAGAAAGGTGGATCCTGTGTCTTCAGACAAAGCGGACCCTGTATTCCCAAGAAAGGAGGAGCCCAGGTATTCAGGAAAAGAGCGTCCTGTGTCCTCAGAAAAGGTGGGTCCTACATCTGCAGAAAAAGTAGATCTTGTGTTGTCAGGAAAGAGAGCTCCTGGGCCCTTGGGAAAGACAGATCCTGTGTCCTTGAAAAGCATGGATTCTGCATCCACAGGAAAGACAGAGCCTGGGCTCCTGGGCAAGCTGACCCCAGGCTCATCAGACAAGAATGGGCCTGTATCCTCTGGGATAGGGGCTCCTGGGTCCTCGGGAAGGCTGGATCCTACATGCTTGGGGATGGCAGATCCTGCATCTGTGGGAAATGTAGAAACTGTACCCGCCACAGAAGAGGACTCCTGGCTCCTGGAAAAGATGGATCGTGCCTCCTCAGGAGAGGGGCATCCTGTGTTGTCCGGCCACACGGATACCACAGCTTCAGCAAAGACAGATCTCACGTCTTTGAAAAATGTGGATGCCATGTCTTCAGGCAAGGTGGATCAAGTTTGCTCAGGAACACCAGAGCTTTTGTCTTCTGGGCAGGCAGAGCATGTGTCCATGGGAAAGGCAGGAACTGTATCCTCAGGAGAAGAGGACTCAGTGTCCTCCAGAAAGGAGGACCCCATATCTGTGGGAAGTAGAAAAACATCTGAAAAAGTGAATCCTCAGTCTTCGGGAAAGACAAACCCTGTGTCTTCAAGTCCAGGCAATCCCAGGTCCTTGGAGACAGCAGGTCCCCCATTTGCAGAAAAGGCTGAGCCAGTGACTGCAGGAAAAGGAGATCCCCTGTCCTCAGAGAAGGCAGGTCTGGTGGCCTCTGGAAAGGACACTCCCACAGCCTCAGAGAAGGCCGAGCCCCTGGCTGTGGGCAAAGAGGACCCTGTGAGCAGGGAAAAGGCAGATGCTGTCCCCTCTGGACAATGGGACTCTGTGTCTATAGGTAAAGTGGTCTCAACTCCAGGAAGAGCAGTCCCGGTGCCCTCGGGGAAGGTGGATCCTGTGTCCTTGGGAAAAGCAGAAGCTGTCCTACAGGGAAAGGTGGATTCTCTGCCTCTAGAGAAGGGGAATCCTGTTAACACCACAAAGGCAGATCCCAGGGCTTCAGGGAAAGCAGAGCCGCAGTCTGGCCGCAAAGCAGAAACAAAGCTCCCTGGGCAAGAGGGCACTGCAGCACCAGGAGAAGTAGGGGCTGTGTCTTTGAAACAGGAGACACCGCAGGCCTCAGAAAAGGTGGATCCTGAATCCTCCAGAAAAGCAGAGCCCCTTGCCTCAGGGAAGGGAGAGCCTGTGTCCCTAGGGAAGGCCGACTCTGCACCTTCCAGAAAAACAGAGTCGTCATCCTTGGGGAAGGTGGGCCCCCTGATTCTGGAGAAGGCCATGCCGTCCTCCTCCTGCAGGCAGTCAGACGGCAAAGCCCTTAGCTCAGCCCGGTCTTCCGAGGGTGCCAGGGGCAGCGAAGGCCGCGTGGAGCCGAGGCCCGAGCCCACGTCCAGCGCCGAGGCCTCCAGCCTGGTCAAGAAAGACCTGGCAGCCGCTGGGGCCGAGAGAAGCCCCCGCCCAGAGGTCGCACCGCCCCCGCCGGGGCCGCGGACTCGCGACAACTTCACCAAGGCGCCGTCATGGGAGTCGAGCGCCCTGCCACCGCCGCGCGAGGACGCGGGCACTCAGGCGGGCGCGCAGGCCTGCGTCTCGGTAGCTGTGAGCCCCATGTCTCCGCAGGACGGCGCGGGGGGCCCGGCCTTCAGCTTCCAGGCAGCGCCGCGCGCACCCAGCCCGGCGTCCAGGCCGCCGTCGCGCCGAGATGCGGGCCTGCAGGTGTCGCTGGGTGCCGCCGAGACGCGTTCCGTGGCCACCGGGCCCATGACACCTCAAGCTGCTGCACCGCCCGCCTTCCCCGAAGTGCGGGTGCGGCCCGGGTCGGCGCTGGCGGCCGCCGTGGCGCCCCCGGAGCCGGCCGAGCCCGTGCGAGACGTGAGCTGGGACGAGAAGGGCATGACTTGGGAGGTGTACGGCGCCGCCATGGAGGTGGAGGTGCTGGGCATGGCCATCCAGAAGCATCTGGAGCGACAGATCGAGGAACACGGTCGCCAAGGGGCCCCCGCGGCGCCGCCCGCCGTCCGCGCGGGCCCAGGCCCGGGCCGTTCGGGTTCGGTGCGCACGGCGCCCCCCGAAGACGCTGCCAAGCGTCCACCCGGCCTCTTCCGCGCCCTGCTGCAGAGTGTGCGCCGGCCGCGGTGCTGCTCACGGGCGGGACCCACGGCTGAGTGATCTGCCCCCTTTTTGTACGCCCGAGTTTCCAACCTTCTCAGGCTCCCTTCTTGACCACAGGCTCCTAGAAGGGGTCCCCTCTGCGTGCCACAGGCCTCCGAGAGGATGTGCAGCCTCTAGGGCTGTTGCATCCCGGTCTTTCCAGCCCCTCCCATCACAAACACAAATGAACCCATCCTTCAAGCTCCCTTGTGGCCCTGGGCCCACGACCCCGGCCAGCCCTGATGCCCCACTGTCCCCTCACAGCCCCCAGATCTGCTCCCTCCCAGTCTCACTGGGTGACCACGGGGAACTACTCAGCACCCCCACCTCCCACCCCCTGAAAGCCGGAGTAAGCTCCTGAGATGTCCAGACTGGTGTGTTGTGGTCTCCGGTGGGGCCAGATCCCCAGAACAGGGAGAGACTGCATGCAGGTCTGAGTGGCAGAAGCTTCAAGTGGGTGAGGATCGGTGTGTGAGACCTCCTGGTGGGCACAGCTCTGAATGTGAGTCCCTGGGCTGCATGTGAGGTAGAAGGAGTGTGAGCATCTCCACACAGTGGCTGGCCCTGTGGCTGGGGCATCTCTTGCATGCTGTTGGTGGTCCTTCCTCAGTTCCCTGTCCACCCCCACCCCCCGCCTGGTCCCAGCCCCATCCCCTCTCCCACTGAGTCACAGGTTCAAGATTCCCAGAGAGGCCAAAAGCAGCTGCAGGAAGTGCCCTGGGTCTCAGCTGAGAGAGTCACAGAAAGGCCAGAGGGTCTCTGGTCTGGAGGTCACAGCTGGGCTCACAGAAGCTCTTGGGCCCTGGCATCCTGGGTGACAGATGTTCTTGGGTATTGGGGACAGGACAGAGAGTTCATTCTATAACCACAGTTGTCTTTTAAAGGCCACCCTCTCCAGCCCCTTGTCCCCCCTGTGCTGTGAGCCCCACAAGTCCCTTGTGACCACTCAGTGCCCTGTCCCCACCCCTCCAGCCACAGTTTTTGACTACCAACTGTCACAGTATACATTGGTAATAAAATCTTTCCCCAACCCCTGTCTGCCGTGGTTGGCCAAAAGCAGAAGGAGGCAGGGCAGCATGATATATTATCATCTCCAGGGAGACAGGTGCAGTTAGGGTGTGGTGGGGCCTCTTCAAGGGGGATCAGAAGAGTGGGGGCCCCTGTCACAGGTCCGTGGTGTCCAGGCCAGCGTTGGTGTAGGACAGCTCCTCCAGCTGCTGTCTGCTCACATCTGCCTGACATCCTGACAGCACCACGGTCAGGGGCTCTGGATCTGGCCCCAGTGGTGGTGGCCTATGGCACATCTCCTGCAGGGAGAGGGAGAGGAGGTGTGAAGGGCAAGGCAAGCACCCCAGGCCCTAGGGAAGTGGGTGGGCTTCAAGCCCAGGACCAATGGCTCATTGGTAGGGTTCCTACCCTGCCCCTCCTGGGGCCTCTGGTCCAGGCTGTGTCCCAGACCTGGCCCTGGCTAGTGGTGATACACATGGGGGGGCCTGGGGGGTCAACTCTGGCCTTTGCCATGCCCACCAACACTGTGGCACCCTGCTGTTCTGCCCAGTCCTGAATAATGCTGGGCCCTGTGTCCTGTGCCGAGGAGCCAGCCCAACATAGTCCCTGTCCCCTGTGCCCTCAGCAGGCACCATGTGGGTCGAGGTCCATCCATTACCTCAACTACCTACTGAAACCCTCTAAGGGAGGGAACATGTGCCCTCTTCACAGATGTGGAAACTATGGCTCAGAGAGTTCTACTGGTGAAGAGGGGGCAGACCACTGGTCTTACTGGTTCAAATGCATGTCCACGGTGTGACAATGCCCTGGTTGGATTTGATGTCTCTTTTTGCTGCCCTCAGAGGGATGCTGCCCGTGCAGTTCATCATGGAACTCACTCACTCATCTCTTCCTACCCTTCCTCTTCACCACCCCGCCCTGCGACATGCTGTTCATGTGCGTGCACACACACACACACACCATCCTGTGGAATAGCCAGGCCCCCAGGCTCAGCTGCTCTGCTGAAGAGACACCCACAGGGCCAGAGCCCTGGCTACCCCTGCACTCCCCAGGGCACTCCAAGGGCTTTTTCTAGACAGGGGCTGTTCTGGTGCCTAGTAAACAGTGGAACATCTGAGGGGCTAAGCATTCTGTCTATTCCTCAGAGCCCTCAAGGCAGACCCTGAGTGAAGAGCTGTAGGCTCAGTGCCACCCAGGATAATGTGACCTGCTGCCAGAGATCAAAGACCTGGGTTCTGGTCTGCTCCTGCCCTGCAGGCTGTCCCACTGTGAGCAAGTCAGCACCCCTCTCTGGATGTCAGTTTCCTTGCTGGTTACTTGGGGAAGTTAGAATGATAATCTCTTCAGTTACTCACACCTGCCACTCAGACATGTATGGAGCTTAGACAAGTCAAGGCACCAAGAGATTCCTGGGAAAAGGATCCACCTGCACACCCCACCCCAGCGATGGGGGAGCAGGGGGCAGACAGCTCCCAAGAAGGCCCCGTGGCCTTATAGGCCTGCCCAGAGACCCCTAAGACTCACTCACTGCTGCAGTAGAGGAGGCAGAGCCTTGAGCAACTTCTCAGAAATAGAACAGCCCCTTGCCCTCCCAGGAGAAAGTCTGAGCAATATTCTGGCTTTGAAGACTTTCAGTTACTTGTCCCCCCTCCGTTTCCAGACCCTTCTCCTAGTTCCCTGCCCCTCCATAGTCCACAGATCCAGCCACACCTCAGGGGGTCCCTGACTCCACTCCCTCAGCCTTGGACCAGCATCAGCCTCTGCCACAGGCTATGAACAACAGCAGACAAGACTGTTCCTTTGCCTCAGTTCCCCAGATATGTTCATTAGAGTTTTGGCCACTAACCATTTCCTAGCATCTACCCAGAGGCCTCCAGCGCTGCCTGACTGCGTGCATTACTACCCATACAACCATACCTAGGGCCTGTCCAGAGGCTTCTGTACCACATTCCCTGCACTGTGTTATACCCGGGCCCCTGTGCAGCACTCTAGCATTTTAAAGGCCAAGAGAGGCTTCAGTTGACCAAATCTTTCCACATAAGGAGTCCTCAGGGGAAACAAATTCTGAACCATGAGGTCAGGGTGGGAGCCTCTGATGGGCAGGGACCTGGCCAAGCCCAGAACTCAGACTGGGGGAAAATGTGAGTGGATCCCCCCAACACACACAGAACCTCAGACTGTCACAGCTCCAGTGGGCCTTAGAGAGTATCTCCTCCAGAGGTGGCTTTCAAAGTGGGAAGGAGAGAGGGCAGTTCTTTCTGTTTCCAGAGACCCACCCCTCCACATGCAGAAGCACCCGGCGCTCAGCCTGCTGACCTGCTCCAGCGGCCTCCACCCTGCCTACACCTTTGCACTCTCTGGGCAGCTTTTATAACAGGTCCATGCCCAGGCTCCACATGGGCCATCAGAATCAGAACTCCTGGTCTTTAAAATGCTAGAATGTTGCACCCATGGACCTGGGTGTAACCTGGGCATCGGTATTTTTCGAGAGGTCTTCAGGTGCTTCTACACAGCAGGCCAGGCTGTGAACATTTGATCTCATCTAACCAACTTACCTGTTGAACAGATGACAGTACTGTTGTTTGTTTGAGCCCGTCTTCTCACCTTTTCTAGACTATGCTTGTTCCCCTCTAGATCACCTCCCCTCACCCCCAGCTGGCTTTCTTACGCCTGCCTTTATTTAATCCTCACATTGGCCCTGCACAGATGATGTTCTCGTCCCCATTTGCAGGTGAAAAAACTGAGAAAGTAGAGGCAGGAAAGCATGCACTCAGGGTCACACAGTGAACCAGTGGAGGAGCAGGAATTGGACCCCATTTCAAAGTCACAGGGCTTCCTGGGGCCTGGTGCCGAGAAGCAGAGTTGCCCATGTCCACAGCAGTTCCCTCGAGCTCTGTCCTGAACCCCTCCACAGAAGAACCCAAGTTGGAATCTCCAGGCACCAATTCATCTCTCATCTTGCCTTGATTTCCTGACTGTTCTTGTCCACATCCACAGAGTTGTCATCCAGGGAGTTGAGGCTGTAAGAGAGGTGATGGAACGCAGGTGTTGGCAAGCCCAGTCCTCCCTTACTGTGCCCAAGAACCACCACCTGTATCACCACCATCACCATCACAACTACCACCATCATTACCATCACCACCGTCATCACAACTACTGTCACCACCATCACTACCATCACCACCATCACCATCACTTCAACACCAACACCACCACCACCACCACCATCACCATCACCTCAACACCAACACCAACACCACCACCATAACCTCAACACCAACACCACCACCACCATCACCATCACCTCAACACCAACACCAACACCAACACCATCACATCATCACCACCATCACAATCACATCATCGCCACCACCGTAACTACCATCACCACCATCACCATCACATCATCGCCACCACCGTAACTACCATCACCACCATCACCATCACCTCAACACCAACACCACCAACACCATCACCATCACCATCACTGCCATCACCATCACCTTACCACCATCACAACTACCACCATCATGACCACCACACCATTGTCATCACCAGCACCACCACTACCACCACTACCATGACCACCACACCACTGTCATCAGCACCATCACCACCACCACTATCACCACCACCACCACTACCATCACCACCATCACCTCAACACCAACACCATCACCACCATCATCATCATTGTCATCATCACCATCGTCAGCACTATCACCATCGCTACCATCACCATCAGCTTACCACCGTCATCACCATAACTACCACCACTACCATGACCACCGCCATCACCACCAACACCATCACTCCCACCAACAACACCATCTTCATAACCATCATCGCCACCACCATCATCACCATCACCCTCACTACCTGTACCACGACCACCACCTAGCATGGCTGTGAGGGGTACTGCTCACCTGACATAGTCCAAGTCACTGGAGGAGGAGAGGTACTCCAAGCCCAGGTCTTTGTTGGGGAGGTTCAGCATGGGGTTGGCTCTGGAGGGAAAGCCTGGTCAGGTGGTCTGGCTCTCCGCCACCCCACCAGGCCTCTTACCTAGCCTTTGACTCCTGCTTACCGTTCAGTGTTGTACATGTTAGTCCCTGGGATGGGAAGGGCTGAGGGCATCACCCCCGCTGCTGTCTTTCGAGCCTCCTTGGCAGCCTTCATGGCTCGAATTTTCCGGTTGTAGCTGTGGGAAACCAGGAGGGGGGTCACACTGTTGCTGCACACCTATTGTGTGGCCCAGTGGAGGCCCTGAGAGTGTGGCTTCACAAGATCCTGGGAGGCGAGTTTTAGCTCTATTTTACAGAGGGTAGAAGTAAGAACCAGGGAAGGCAAGTGATTTCCTGCAGGTCACATAGCCAGTGACAAACTGGCTTGAAGTCAAACCCAGATATGGCTGCTGACTCTATACATGTTGGAAAAAGCAGCAGCATCTATTAAATGCATAGTGTGTGCCAGTGTCTCTCTGGGTGTAAAACACAAATCACTTCCATGAGTGCACTAAGGAATCTAATGTCATGCCCGTTCACGGATGAGGACACTGAGGCTCAGGGAGGGCAGATGGCTTGCCCAAGATCTCACACTGGGTCACTTGGGAGTGAATGCACATATACCTATGCCTAAACTCCAGCTCTTTCCACCCCCATCCCCTGATGTCTTGGGTGGTGGGAGAAGGTGAAGGCTGGAGACATGGGGGCAATGGGAGCTGCACCTCTTCCGCACACACACGAAGGCCGTGGTCATGATCACAAGGACCAGCAGCAAAGCCACTCCCAATCCTATGATGACACTGATGAGCTGATTCAACGGGTCTGACTCCTGGCTCTCCTGGGTGCCCTGGAGAAGGATGAGTGTGAGGGAGACTGTGGGGGCCCCGCAGCTTCACCTGCTGCCCCACTCTGCCCGCACTCACCAGCACCACCAGCCCCAGCCGCAGCAGCTGCGTCAGCGAGTCCTGATCACTCCGGATTATCCTGGCCACAGAACCTCCACTTAGGCCCGAGGGACCTTGGCACACCCCAGACTCCCTGCTCACCCTAACGCCTGCCCCAGGGGCAGCCCCACTCACAAGCTCAGCTCATCAAGGGTCAGGGCTGTCCCATTGGGGAAGACAAAGTAGGCATCAAGGTAGGAGTTGGCTCGGGCCCTGGAGGGGGACAGAGTTGAAGAGTCAGCAGCCTGGACCACCCAACGGGCCCCTCCTGCTACCAATTCTCCCCCTCACCTCCACCTCCAGGTCTCTGGGCACTCACCGAGCTGCAGAATCTATGTCCTGAATGTCCACAATGTAGACTGTAGTCCTGGTCGCCTGGGTAAGAGCGCTGCAAAGGGAGCAGATGTCACAAAGGCCTGGGGTGGGAGCCTTAGCCCCTATGGCACAAGGTAGGGCATAGGGTAGGGGCCTATGCCAGTGGAATTTGGAATTGTGTGAGTGAGAAAGGGGCAACTCCTCTGGACAGCTCTGTTAGCTGAGTAGGTAGCACTTCCGTGCAAATTACAAGAGGAAATCTCTTCCTCTGGGGCTGGGTTAATAGATTAGCAAGCAGAGTGCCCTTGTGCAGTGCACAGCCTTCACAACTGTACATGGCAGCCCTATTCCAAGGCCTCCCTCTGCCCCTGGCTGGGTATGGACTTCTGGGGACATGCAAAAACATGGTGCAGGTTAAGGTACAGGGCTAAAGACAGGGACAAGGTCCAATGTGGGTCAGGAACAGGATTGAGAGATATCCCATCAACGTTTTGTCAGAGACCAGGCTCCTACACCCTGTTCTTCCCACAGCTCCCTCCTGAGCTCCCCAGACCTACGCATTAATCTCCTGTCTGTTGGCGCCCACCTCCTCCCGTGGTGTGGAGAACTGCAGCCGCACGCGGTAACTCTGATCTACGGTGAAGAGCTGGGGGAAGAGGGTGTGCAGGAGATGGGGCATGAGGGACTCTGGGGGCTGGCAGAGGACATTGAGGGCTGGAAGTGGGACTAGTACTCACATTCAGGGTGGTGTTGGTTTCCAGGGAAGGTCCCACAGAAGGTCTGTCCCTGGCCTGGACTGTCACTTGGTAGGTGCCTTGGAGAGTGGAGTCAAGGCTGGTCACAGGCCTATGGAAGGTGGGAGGTGCAGGTCAGTCTTTGAACCCAAGCTGAATCCTCAGGAGCCTTATAACCTTCAGGATGGGGGACTTGCACCCCTCGGGCCCCTCCCCCACCCTCCTTCCAGGGGCCGCCGCCGTTACTGAATGCTCCCAGTGAACACGTCGGCCTCAGAGGAGGTAGAGATCCCGAAGCCTTGGAAAGGGATGGTGGCCCCATCCTTAGAGATGAAGTCTACTTGGAGGATGGAGAACAGGATGACGCCATTGTTCCCTGAATCATAGTCTCTGGCCTGGGAGCGAGAGTGGACAACATCTGGGGGCCCAGCCAGGCCAGGCATCCCTCCACAGGCAAAGGTGACCTGGGAGGCTGGTCCTCACAGTCTCTATTCACCATCCCCACGCTGCCCCAAATAAGCAAATAGTTTCAAAAAGCTGTGTGCCTGCTTTGGACAAGTCCCTGCCCCTGTCCCCAACCTCTAAACAGATCACTGCCCAAAGTCCCTCACATGTGGAAATCTTGCTGTGCTCCCCCCATCCCTCCACTGCCACACACACACACACACACACACACACACACACACACTCTCACACACATTCACACACACTCATACACACACACCCTCACACACTAATCCTCTCACACACTCACACACCCTCTCACACTCACACTTATCCTGACACACACACATACACACCCTCACTATCACATGCACTCACACTCAGTTCACACACAATCACAAATACACACACTCAATTCACACACATTCACATACTTGCACAGTCACACACACATTCATGCACACATACACACCCACAGTCACATACTCATATATACCCACATATGCACAGTCACACGCATTCACATACACTCACCCTTATACAGACACACACATTCACACTTGGACATACACACTTGCACACACACTAGCACGCGTGTGCACGCACGCGCACACACACACACACACACACACAGAGCGATGCTTAGATTTCCTAAGCACCTCCCCTGGGACCTGTCATTTCCTTGCTAATGTGAGTACCAATTCCTCTAGTGGACAATGAAGCTCGTTAGGGAGGGGACACAAACATTTTTATTCATTCTAGTGCCTTTTAGAGAAAAATTTAGCACACAGAGCCTCCAGTCCACTGACGTTACTGTTGAGGATAGGCCAACACCGATGCTTCAGTCTCAAAAAAAGGAGTTTATTTAAAGAAAATTGCTGGCTGGGCACAGTGGCTCATGCCTGTAATCCCAGCACTTTGAGTGGCTGAGGCGGGTGGGTCACTTGAGGTCAGGAGTTCGAGACCAGCCTGGCCAACATGGTGAAATCCCACCTCTACTAAAAATGCAAAAAAATTAGCCGGGCATGGTGGTGCATGCCTGTAGTCCAGCTACTCGGGAGGCTGAGGCAGGAGAATTGCTTAAGCCCAGGAGGCGGAGGTTGCAGTGAGCCGAGATTGCTCCATTGCACTCCAGCCTGGGTGACAGAGTGAGACTCTGTCTTAAAAAAAAACACAAGAAAAAAAGAAAATTGCAGTGGCCATACTCATAACATTAGAACAAAATTGGCAGATTAGGAAAGTGTTTTAAGGCTTGAAAGTCACACAGTTGCTGTCTCTATGTAGAGAAGGAGGATTACCAGCCCCAATTTACAAAAGGAAGCAGGCTCCGAGAGACCTTGTCCTTACATTCAGCTTTAAGCAGGGAAGGCCAGCCCTGTCCATCTCCTGTACCCATGTCCTTTCCACAGCATAGGGAGTAGCACCCACATGCCACCTTCTGGGAACTGCCAGCTTCTTGTTGAAGAGGGACGCAGAGTCCCAGAGAGGGAAGGCAGCTTTCCAGGTCAGTAAGAAGCCCAGCCAGGCCCAGCTGTCAGCGGTGTGGGAGGTGTCCCCGACACATCGCATAGCCACCACCCCTAATAAACTCGCTCACAGCCAACGCCATAAACAGCTGAAAGCCTTTTTATAAGTTGGCTCTGGGAATTATTTAATGACAAAACACTCGTTTAATAAACAATTGGCTACGAGTTCTCTGTAGTACTCAAGAATTCTGGTATAGTAAAAAATACCTAGACTGCAAGTGGTATTTATGGTCATGACATTTTTATGAATGCTACATTTAACACAGTGAAGTTTGATTACATTGATTAGACAGGTGTTGGTTTCCCTCCTGGGGTTTTCTTTTTCATATGTTGGAGTCCATATATTTTCTTTCTACCGTTAAAGGCTTGAAGGCCTCAGCCCTGTGTCCCCTGGGGCTAATGTGACCAACAAAGACTGGAGCCAAGGACCTACCCGGACAGAAGCCACCTCCCGGTTGGGCAGCACGAGTTCAGGGATGATCACTGCAGGTGTGAATGGGAAGGGGGTCAGCAGGGTCGGGACACTGCCCACCCGGACCAAGGCTGGCCACGAGCGCAGCTCAGGGCTCATCCCCCTAAACCTGCCCTCAACCACTGTACCAAAAGAGACACCATTACAGCCACCACTGGACCAGTAGTTAGCAAGTCAGCCACCCCACATTGTCACAGGCAAGGTCACAGGCCTGCACGGGGCAATGGAAGCCCAGAGAGGGAAGGCCTGGGGGCCAGGGCTAGACATTAGGTGGGGCAGAGCTGGAATGAAAACTCCAATGTTGGCTGGGCCCAGGTGGCTCACGCTTGTAATCCCAACACTTTGGGAGGCCAAGGCAGGCAGATCACTTGAGGCCAGGAATTCAAGACCAGTGTGGCCAACATGGTGAAACCCCATCTCTACTAAAAATATAAAAATTAGGCATGATGGTGCATGTCTGTAATCCCAGCTACTCAGGAGGCTGAGGCAGGAGAATCACTTGAAGCTGGGAGGCGGAGATTGCAGTGAGCTGAGATTGCACCACTGCACTCCGGCTTGGGAGACAGAGTGAGACTTTGTCTCAAAAAAAAGAAAAACAGGAAAAAAAAAGAAAAAAGAAAAAAAATCCTCCAATGTCCTCTCCTATTGCAGCCCTGGGAAGAGGCAGGATTAGAGGCCTTCCCCCCTTTCTAAAGGCCCTTCTGGAGCCCATGGATGGTCTGTGGGGGTTGCCCAAGGGTGACCTCATGGAGCAGGGGTATGTGTGTGTGAACAGGGTTGCTGCTTACCAAAAGTCTTATCTTCAGGCAGAAAATAGGGTGCATTGTCATTCACATCCTCAATGGTAATGAAGAGACTCCCTAGGAGACAAGGTCAGATGGTTTTGGCTCTGGATAAGAGCTTGACCCAAAGAGCCTGGGCCTCAACCCCATACCCCACAGCCTCTCTCCCATGTGTTCCCTGTGCTCAGTCCCCTCCCCTGCTCCTGACCCAGAATGCCTGCTCAGTCTTCTGTAGCCTGTGTGGGTGGGAGTATCATCCCAGGCCTCAGAGCAGATAAGTAGCTTGTCAAAGTCACACAGCAATAGTTAGGTGGGCCAGGATTGGGCCCAGCCTAGGTAGGTCCCACCTATGACATTATGCTCACACATTCTAACTATGCAAGCTGGTTGTTTAAATGCCCATGCTCTGCCTCAGCTTCCTCATTTATAAAATTGGTAGGGACCACCTACCCCGTGGATTACGTAGAAGTGCAAAAATGCTTGTAAGGTGCCTCGTGCAGTTCTTGGCTGTCATAAGGACTCAATATATGCTAGCTGTTAATGTGGTTATATTGCTATTTGGTGTCAGAAGTGGGATACAAGTACACATCTGGCTCTGAAGTGTGATCTTTCTTTCACAGCATCTTGCAAAATAATGGCATTAATTCGGTGCTACTGCATGCCAAGCACTGCACTAAATGCTTTACATGGATCTTCTCGTTGATTCTTCACAGCCAACCTACTGCCCAACCCCACTGGACAGATGGGGAAACTGAAGCTTGGAGAAGATTTGGGAACTTTCCCAGTATTTGCAACTGGAAAGGGCTAGAGCCAGGATCTGAGCCCAGACCTTGTGAGTCCCAGCTCAGGGCTTCTTCCCTCAGCCCCTAGCTGTGGCCTGCCAAGCCCTTTAAGACCAGGCTGCCTTACCATTGTTGCTGTAGGCCTGGAAGCCGGCATCCGTGGTGAGGTCACAGGCCCGCACAACCAGTGTGACCAGGTCACAGGCCTCGTAGTCAATGGCTTTGCTCTGGTTGATGTACACAGAGCCATTGGCCGCCACTGAGAACCAGCCCCAGCACAGGCTGCCCACATCAACCCCGGCCTTGGTGCAGAGAATGTTCACAAGCTGTATCTCCAGCTGGGCTTTGGTGTCCACATCCGAGGCAACCACCACAGCCACCTGGCCATGCTGTGAGCCATTCTCAGCCACATGGATGCCCCGGAGTGAGGCTCCATCCAAGGTGGGGGGATTGTCGTTCACATCTTCCACATTCACGAGGACATATACTGTGGTCTCACCACCCTGGGGGTCTGGGTTCTCGGCACTCACTGTCAAGTTGAAGACGGACTGTGTCTCGAAGTCCAGGCTCACATCCGGGGGCAGCCAGAGGTAGCCCTCAGCCCACCCAGCCCCCAGCACCAAGCCTCGGATCATAAAGTTGTTGGCACCACTCCCCGACAGGCTGAAGCTGATGCGATTGTTGGCTTCTGTCTGGTCTGCGTCCCAGGCCTTCACCACGCCCACTAGCATTCCTATGGATGAGGGACAGAACTCAGATGGACTCCTGGCCCCGCCATCGGAAGCCTCCTCTGCCCTTGCCTCTCTTGGCACTGAGAAAGACACACTGGGCCCCAGCCCTAGTGCCTCTCCTGACCCAGGGAACATGTACCTGGATCCTCCTCCTTCACCATAAACTTGTAGCTGGACTGGTTGAAGATAGGCAGGTTATCATTGATGTCCTGCAGGCAGAGACAGGTCTGAGTCCCCGGATCCCATCTCACCCTCCCCAGAGCCAATCTGAGAAACGAATAATCCCTGTGCTCCGAGACACAGACTCTACCAGTGCCTCAGACCTCACTGCCCACTCCCCAGATGAGGAAACAGGCTCTGGGAGGAGGGAACTTACCCAGGTCACACAGGCTCTGGGGTTCGGGGGCCTGTGGTGGGAGCTGGGCCTTACATATCCATCCCCAGGAAGCCCTGCCTGCCTCCTTGGATATGTAAGGCCAAGTTTCTCTGACCACATCTCAGAACTGTTCTAGACCCTGATTTCTGGAAGCACAGTTCTGGGTCCCCCTGAAACCCTGCCTGGCCCAGCTTGACTCCCATCTCTTGGATTTATTGTGTTGGTACCAATACCGTTATGTGTCCACGAAGGCTCCAAGGCCCACAGTTTCCCTTGTCCCCTCCTACCCCTGTCCCTCCTGCATACAACTGAGCCCACGACACCAGCTCTGTGCTCAGGCAGAGCTGGACTCCAGGACCTGCAGCAGCTTAGGCCCGCTCCTGCCTCGGACACTGGCTGTTTTTGGCTCTCACCTCTGTGGCCAGCCCTAGCCCATCAGGCACAGCTGGAGCCCTGCAACTGCTGTCACAATCTGGAGGTGACTCTGCCCTCCCCTCTGTCCCCTAACACTGGCATGTGCTTGGGGGATGCCCTGAGCACTCCAGCCCTTCCTGGGTTTGTGGGTCACATCATAGGTGTTTGTTTTTCTGAATAACCCTAGAATGAACATTTGGAAGACAACCTTCTTCCACCTTAGCTATATGTGTTTTCTGCTGCAATTTCCCAGAGATGGCATCACGGCTCCATGCACAAGACCAGCTGCATTCTCAAGTTCGCCCTAGCTCACAGGAGTGGCTGAGAGCGCTGAGTCACATCTTGCTCCACCTCTGCCTCACGTGTGTCCTTGACCACTCTGGGCCTCAATGTCCTCATCTGCAAAATGGGGTAGTAGCCCCACTAATAGAGCAATTGTGAGGACTGTTCGCAGAGGTGAAGAAATCCGTTCACTCAGGAAATGAAGTTCTCTCTTTGCAGCCCTCCCACCCCAAGGACAACCAGCAAGTTCTCATTCTGCTTCAGTTTCTCTATTTCTGAGGTCTTACTCTCTGACCGTTGCGTGAAAATGGTGCATCCCAATCCAGGCGACACAGGGCTACTATGTACAGTGGTGCAAGGTGTGCACTGCACAACCCTAGAGGACGCAGTGTTATGTGTATATCTGTTACAATACTGTTCCAGAGGAAGGTGACTTGTGGGCTGGTGGCAGCCTTAGAACCAGATTGATTGGAGTCACAACCCCATGTTGTGACCCCCCCCAGGCAAGGTACTGAACCTCTCTGTGACTCAGTTTCTTTTTTGAGACAGGGTCTTGCTCTGTCTCACAGGCTGGATTGCAGTGGCATGAACATAGCTCACTGCAGCCTCAATGTCCCAGGCTGAAATTATCCACCCTCATCAGCCTTCTGAGTAGCTGGGACTACAGGTCCATGCCACCATGCCTGGCTAATTTTTTATTTTTGTAGAGATGGGATCTTGGTATGTTGCCCAGCCCAGTCTTGAACTCCTAGGCTCAAGCAACCCTCTCATCTTGGCCTCCCAAAATATTGGGATTTTTGGTGTGAGCCACTGCACCCAGCCCTGCCTCAGTTGCTTGATCAATAAAATGGTAATAGGCCAGGCTCGGTGACTCATGACTGTAATCCCAGCATTTTGGGAAGCCGAGGTGGGAGGATCGCTTGAGGCCAGTAGTTCAAGATTGGCCTGGGCAATAAGTAAGATCCTGTTTCTATGAAAAATAAACTTTAAAAATTAGCCAAATTAGCCAGGCATGGTGGCATGCATCTTTAGTTCTAGCTACTTAGGAGACCAAGGCAGGCGGATTGCTTGAGCCCAGGAGTTCAAGACCAGCCTGGGCAACATGGCAAAACCCCATCTCTACAAAAATTAAAAAGTTAACCAGGCATGGTGGCATGTGCCTGTAGTCCCAACTACTCTGGAGGCTGAGACACGAGGATCGCCTGAGCCTGGGAGGTTGAGTCTGCAGTAAGCCATGATGGCACTATTGCACTCCAGCCTGGGTGACAAAGGGAGATGCTGTCTCAAAAATAAATAAGGCTGGGCACAGTGGCTCACTACTGTAATCCCAGCACTTTGGGAGGCCGAGGCAGGCGGATCATGAGGTCAAGAAATCGAGACCATCTTGGCCAACATGGTAAAACCCCGTCTCTACTTTAAAAAAAAAAAAAAAAAAGCCAGGTGTGGTGGTGCTCACCTATAGTCCCAGCTACTTGGGAGGCTGAGGCAGGAGAATCACTTGAACCTGGGAGGTGGAGGGTGCAGTAAGCCAAGATCGTGCCACTGCACTCCAGCCTGGCGACAGAGTGAGACTCCATCTCAAAATAGATAGGTAGATAGATAGATAGATAGACAGATAGATAGGAACAAAATGGTAATAACCAGCCCGACCTTGGGGGATGCGCTGATGTGCAGTAGACACCAGCAATGCTGCTTTTCACCCTCCCTTTGCTTTTCAATGGTGGCAGGGAGGGTTTCAGGTGGGGCTTTGTGAGTGACAATTAGAGCTGATGGTTACTGATAACCCCATATAGTTCAGGCACTCTACCAAGCACTTTCCATTCATTAACCGGCTTAACCTTTAGCCTTTTCCACCCCCATTTTACAGACCAGGGGCCTGAGTGCCTAGGGAGGTTGAGTTTTGCCTGGGGCCATATGAGTGAGTGGGACTGTAACCCAGGCAGGCTGGCTGCAGAGGGCAGAAGTGTGACCGGCTCAAGCTGGAGGGGCTGGCCATCGGCTTGGGAGTCCCTGGGGCCCACCCTGCCATCCGGCCCTGGCTGAGCTAGCCCGTACCTCCACAGTGATGGTGACATTGACTTTGGTGGTGAGGACAGGCTCACCGCAGTCAGACACGAGCACTGTCAGCACGATGCGGCCCCCCAGGGTGGGGTCAATGGCCTCTCTGTCCAGGGGCCCCAGGTTTCTGAGGAGCCCTGTGTCGGGGTCCAAGGAGAAGTTGTGGTTGTAGGGGCCAGGCAGCAGGCTGAAGAGCAGACGGCTGTTGTTGGTGCCCGGTTCATCATTGTCGTGGGCCTGTGCAGGTAAGCAGGGATTGGCCATCAGCCATCAGCACTCCCAGCCCGCAGCCCCTCCCCTGCAGCTGGACTGTCCTCTCCAGCGCTGGCATGCAGGCAGTTAGCAGGCCTGGATCCAGTGGGCCCATCTCCCAGCCTCAGATTCTCATCCAAGAGGCTCAGGTCAACAGTTTGCAAGAGCTTCTGAGATCTTCAGCACTGAGGCCATTCTCTCATCTCACAAACGACCACTGTGGGCCTACAGCATGCCCAGCCCTGTTCCAGGTGCAGAGAATACAGCCGTCTGATATTCTGGCAGGAAGGGGGATATGGGAGCAGGAAATTGTAGACATTCAAGGAAAGTTTTAAACTCATAAGTATGAAGTCCAAGATTCTGATTTTCCCATGATGACTACTTCAGTACTATATGCATACGTTTTACTTCTTTTTTTTTTTTTTTTTCCAGAGTTTTGCTCTTGTTGCCCAGGCTGGCTTGCAATAGCACGATCTCGCTCACTGCAAACTCTGCCTCCTAGGTTCAAAAGATTCTCCTGCCTCAGCCTCCTGAGTAGCTGGGATTACAGGTGCCCACCACCACGCCCAGTGAATTTTTTGTATTTTTTAGTAGAGACGGGGTTTCACTGTGTTGGCCAGGCTGGTCTTGAACTCCTGACCCTCATGATCCACCTGCCTTGGCCTCCCAAAGTCCTGGGATTACAGGCCTGAGCCACCATACCTGGTCTGTGTTTTCTTTTCTTTCTTTCTCGCTCTCTCTCTCTCTCTTTCTTTCTTGAGGCAGAGTCTCACCGTTGCCCAGGCTGGAGTGCAATAGCCCAATCTCAGCTTACTGCAGCTTCCAATTCCTTGGTTCAAGTGATTCTCCTGCCTAAACCTCCCGAATAGCTGGGATTACAGGCATGAACCACCACACCAGCTAATCTTTGTAATTTCAGTAGAGACAGGGTTTTCCTGTGTTGGCCAGGCTGGTCTTGAGCTCCTGATCTCAAGTAATCTGCCCACTTCAGCCTCCTAAAGTGCTGGGATTACAGACGTGAGCCACCACACCTGGCTGTCAATGCTATATTTTTAAAATAGCTGATTCTTCACCCAATTTGTATGTCTGTGTGTGTGTGTAAGAGAGAGAGATAGAAAGAGAGAGAGAGAGAAAGAGAGAGAGAGAATGTGTGTGTGTGTGTGTGTGTGTGTGTGTGTGTGTGTGTGTGTGTGTGTTTTCCTGCCCTGCCAGGGCCTTGAAGGCATGCTTGGCTTGCCTTTGGGGTGAACCAACATGGATAACACAGCAGGTTCCTCTGTGCCACCAGGCCTTTGCAGGTTCTGTTCCCTCACCCTCACACCTTCCCTGCCTAACTCCAGGCCAGGGTGGTGCTTTCCCTGGGCCTCAACATAGCACAGGTGGGTGACTGTCTGATGCCCACCCGCTAACTGGGAGCTGCCTGGGGGCAGGAATGGTGGTGGACTCATCTCTGAGGACCCAGGTGCTCAGCAAATGTGGCCTTGAACCCAGAGCTGGACCACTCTGTCTCAACCAATTCTTTCCCTTCCTCCCTGCGGGTCCCCTCCTTCAGCTCCTCCATTTCATTCTGCTGGGATCTTGTTTATTACATGCATCCTTTGAAAGCAGCTGGAGATGGTTTTTTTCCAAAAGCCTGACCCTGTCTGTTCATCTGTTGGTGCCCTGAATTCAGGCCAGTTAATTCGTCAAGTGCTTCCTGGGGGTCACGCTGGGCAACACAGTACAGAGACAGACCGGAAATGCTCCTGCCCCGAGGAGCTCCCAGACCAGGGGAGAAGTGCCAAGCAGGAAGGAGGAAAGGCCCAGGCTTCAGGGCCAGAGAGGTCTGGGCTGCTGCCCCAGCGCCGTCATTCACTAGCTGTGTAACCCCAGAAAGTCACTTAACCTTTCTGAGCCTGTTGTCTCCTGCGAAATGGGAACTATTAGACCATCTGCTTCAAAAGCTTGTCAAGAGATCGGGGATGGGAACATGCTCTGGAAACTGCACAGTCCCGGAAAGATGGGAGGGCTCTGTGGCCACCAGATTGCCCTCTGAGGACCTGGTTTCTCACTTCTCACAAGATCCCCTTTCAGATGCCGCAGGGGCAAAGCTGCCCAACTCCTCAGGAAGGAGGAGGGGAGGAGGTACTCCCGGTGTTTCTCTGGAGCCACAAGTGGCTTTTTATCTCATGAACTCTGTGAACCTGGCCACTGATTTCATTCCCCTTTTTGCTTTGGCCACCACGAAGCTCAGAACAGAATTCGAAGCTTACTCCTTCAATTCTGTTCACTGAGCAATTCTGTAGCACTGGGTTCTAATTATACCTTTACGCCCTTTAACAAGTACCGTCCTTATTTTCTCTTTTTTTTTTCTTATTTCATATTTTTATCTTACTGTTTAAGCCACCTCAAGTCCTTTTAGAAGTGGGGCAAGTGGGTAAATAAAAAATAAATGTGGCCGGGCGCAGTGGCTCACGCTTATAATCCCAGCACTTTGGGAGGCCGAGGCGGGTGGATCACGAGGTCAAGAGATCGAGACCATCCTGGTCAACAAGGTGAAACCTGTCTCTACTAAAAATACAAAAATTGGCCGGGCGCGGTGGCTCAAGCCTGTAATCCCAGCACTTTGGGAGGCCGAGGCGGGTGGATCACAAGGTCAAGAGATCGAGACCATCCTGGTCAACATGGTGAAACCCCGTCTCTACTAAAACTACAAAAATTAGCTGGGCATGGTGGTGCGTGCCTGTAATCCCAGCTACTCAGG